TGCTTCATTCAAGCTTGTGAGGTTTTCTCGCAAGCTCTCGGACATGCACTGAGCATACAGTGCTTATTAATATACGTTGGGTAAGGGCAAAACCGTTATATATAATTAAGATCTGGCAATTGGCGGATCAGATCCGGCAATTGGTGGATCACGATCAGATGGGAACGCAAAAGGTAGATCTGATCCAGCAATTTGACCTGTCAACATCCGTCCGAGCATGAGTGGCGCAAAAACTTTTGCGGTCTGAAGAACAAAGAAAAAGATTTTTCGGCGTGTAGCTCATGTGAAATTTTTAACATGCACAGTGTGCACAATAAACAACTACTGAACTACAGGCTAGCAAAATGTGTCATCACGCATGCACAATGCATGCATGCCGCGATGTGTGCCTTGCCCTTTCACAATTTTCGTTGCGCATTCGTCCGTTTCTTAACCTTTTTCATTTGTGTAATTTCACTTGCTTTCCATCAAAAACTAATTCTGTGTTAGCGTATAACCTGCAGTGGGTAACAGAGTATCAAAAAGGGAAGCAAAGTTTGAAGAGACAACGTACTAGGCTGAACATTTGGTCCGATTCAAGGACGTCGCGTCAGTAGAACTCCGCACCCAAAAAACCGCACAGTCAAAGGCATGCAACCTGAGCATGCCACACTGCCACAGAGCACGTGCTCAGCAAGCTAGCACATGTGCAATACCGAACTCAGTGACCTTTTGGGCTCGACATTTCCGTCCGAAAAGGTGGATCAAGCGCTAGTGGGAACGCGACTTGCGGTTTTGTTGCGGTAACGATCACACCTAAATGCTGGATCAAGATCCACCTTTTCCCAATTCAAGTGGGAACGCGCTGTAAGTCAACAGTTTCAAACCACAAATCCCCTTATCCTACTTTATCTCACCCTGCCATCCCTTTCTTGCATCAACTATGAGATCAACCTAGCTCTTGAATGCCCATGCTTCAACCCATTACCCACCTTACATTACCCTCATCTTGCACCTCCGATCCTTGCACCTTGTCTTCCATCCATCCTGGGAGCAAGCACTCATCATTCTTCTCAACGCACCCTTTTCTGACCTGAGTCACCTCCTCTTTCCTTCCATGCACCTTGTCTTCCATCCATCCGAGGAGCAAGCACTCATCATTCTTCTCAACGCACCCTTTTCTGACCTGAGTCACCTCCTCTTTCCTTCCTTGCACCTTGTCTTCCATCCATCCTGGGAGCAAGCACTCATCATTCTTCTCAACGCACCCTTTTCTGACCTGAGTCACCTCTTCTTTCCTTCCTTGCACCTTGTCTTCCATCCATCCTAGGAGCAAGCACTCATCATTCTTCTCAACGCACCCTTTTCTGACCTGAGTCTTCTCCTCTTTCCTTCCTTGCACCTTGGCTTCCATCCATCCTAGCAGCAAGCACTCATCACTCTTCTCAACGCACCCTTTTCTGACCTGAGTCACCTCCTCTTCCCTTCCTTGCACCTTGGCTTCTCTCCAGCCCAAGAATTCATGAATAGAATTCACTACCTGACTACCTTATGACATCAAATGCTGGAACAATCTTAATAAATTTAAAAGGGAATTGAAATTCCATCTTTCTACTCAGTCTTATTTTAAACCGTCAAATTTTAATCACCAGTTTGAATTTGTTGGAGAACTTTTTTCCATTTTATGAGTGCTGTATGTTTTCTTTTGTGTTTCTAATCACCTTGATGGAAAGAAGCCATGTTATAAGCAGGGTTAGGGTTTTAAGGTTATCCGTGGCTTTGTAGTTAAATATTTTGCATGTATTCTCTTGCTTTTTAATCCCTAAATCAATCCCCAGGAGAAGCTATGCCTCTTAGTGATGTCTATGCCAGCCAGTGAACTCTTGACTATTGAGATGCAGCAAGGTATCCAGTTTGTCTTGGAGCACATTCTATGGGCATCTCGTAGTTCCTTCTCCCAATGGCTAACTCATCGCAAGATTCCTGTCATCATCCCCACAGCACATTAACCCTAACCAGAGCATTTTTATCAAATGTATTTGTTAATCTGGTTAAATATAATACTGGGCGGTAAACCTTGGCACATTGTTTGTGCTCTATCAACTGCCAAATCAGGGAAAATAATATACAGTAAACTCTAAGTCGGCACTCTCGGGACTCAAGAAATTATGACGACTTACGTGAATGCTGACTTGTGTTGTAAGTCGTCATGTATTGCCTATGTCATCAGTCAAGCAGTGCTTTGCAAGCGCGGTGAACGAAACTGATACCGAAGCACAATGTTTTTTAACGCCAACTTACACAAAGGAATTTTTGTGGATTTGTGGAAAAGGAACCAAGAAAAACATGCCGTCTTATACGAAATGACAACTTAGAAATGAAATTTTCAATGGAAATGCATTACAGACAATTGGGACTTTTGTCGTAAGGCTGACTTAGACCGTATGACGAGTTACGCAATGCCGACTTAGCCGAAGTTTACTGTAGTTCCACATCCACCAAAATCTGGCAAAGCCATTGATAGATCAATTTGGTAGATTTATGGTATTAGTGATCTATTTCAGTAGAATTTAATTACATGTATGCTGTACAGTTCTTAGTATAAGAACACATTTCTCAGGACAAAAAAATTGGTATTAAAAACTTAGACAGTGCCAAAGTGATTCCAAAGGTTTTAGTGGTTTTTATTGAAATTCTGGTTGAAGCACCTTCAGGGTTATTACAGTACAATATATTTGAATTATTCTGTTGTTAACATTTCGATGATGAATTATTGTGAATCACATGAGAAACACCTGCGCTGGATTAGCCCAAATTATGATTGACTTTTATACCGTCAACTTTTTTGCAATCCTTTCATGTGACCCATTATGCAATCAACATGCCACAATTTCAAGGAGAAGACACTGAAGTCACTGAGCAAAACAAAAGATAACAATTACCATCAGACATCGTTCCTCTAAATTCTCCATTCTGAAGGCATTCTTCAGTACTTGTTCAACCAATAGGGAAACATTATACGTAGGCAGGCATGGCAGTGTTTCCTTAGGTGTTTCAGATCTGAACAGAGGCAAAATTTTTAAATAAAGTCCAAAACATACATTTTTTGTTTGGGCTGGATAAGGGAAAAATTGGAAAGGGTTCATAAAAGGTGGAAAAGTTTTGAGCATAACCCTATTGTAACGTCTCCCTAAGCTAATGTACCATTTCTCATTACAATTACATGTACATTATAACAAGATGTTTATTAAAGTTTATAACAGTCTTTTACTTGACTGTAATAGGCCTAAAGGCAAGATCTTCACACCCCAAATTCAACTTTGTCTCTTTTTTATTGATGTGGGGGGCCAAGTTTACCAGTACAAAATACCAAGCAAGCTTACCACTACAATTGAAAGGAAGTACATGTACATTGTATGCACAGTGTTACCATGTAACTAATGCATTCTAGTGTTAGGACACTTGAATGACACGGAGTGGCCAAAATTCAACTGAAGACAAATTAGAACTGAAAAGATTTAGTTTCATTAAGTACATGTAGATTTCACAGACTTCCTCTGAATACATGAGCGTGTACTAAAGTAAAATTCAAACCATGATACATTTATGAATGCTCTCGTGTGCATTGTTGCCGAGAGTTAAACATTACAATGTTGAATTTTAACAGAATAAGCTGCAATATGTTACTTTAACACATAATCACATAAACAGATTTATGCAGCTTAACAGCTTTGCTGGAATTACAAATCTGGCATCAGAGATAGATTTTCATTTCTATTTACAATATACACATGGCCTTTTTCACATCATTTGATGAGCTGCTGGAACAATTACCGTAAGTCAGACAAAAAATTTCATTTACTTTGTATTCAGCCCAATTGAAGTTACAAAGTCCTTAAAAACCCTGTGCACACTCCCTGGCTTTGATTCTTTCATAAAAATGTAAATATAAACAATGTTTGTGCTGGTATTCTCTCATGAGCAGACTGCTGATTTGGAATTAAAAATCGTTTCTGGCAATTTTGGATCTCCTGAGAGACGTTTCTTCGTAAGCAGATCAAGGATTCTGTGAAATAGTACCAGTCATTTTGTTGTTCTTCCTGCAAAGTTACCCTTTTCAAATGAAACAGTTCATAATGGTGGCTTCATGTACCATCTATCCACTGGTAACATCTCTCTGCTGTTCAAATCTAAATCCTGTTTCATACTCAGAGTATTAACTTATCTCCAGTAACAGTAGCAAGAATAAGCCATTTGCGAGTTAAATTTGAATAAAATCTGGTACACTGTGTTATCTGATTGCACAGAAACGTAACAATTTGAATTTTCCCAGACTAAAGACACTGTTGCTATATCTTGTTATTCGGGGCAAGCTTTTGCATAGCGACCACCATCTCTGGAATGGACTGGTTCCTTTGTGCCATTCTTATCCATTGAGAACAGTGTATTGTTGCAAGGTGTCTCTTATGTAACTAAGCAAAAGCTTGCCCCGAATCACGAGGTATAGCAACAGTGATTCAGTAAGGGGAATTCAAGTTGTTATGTTCACGTGAATTGAAAGAACTCAGTGTATCAGTTTTTATTCAAATTTAACTCGCAAATGGCTTCTTGTACCGAGTATGGCATAACACAAAATCATGATAAGAATGTCATGTGTCTAGATGGCCATTCAGGAATTGTTTCAACACAACTCACATTGTAACAGCTTGCTACATGTGCCTTTCTGCCAGCCAGGTAGTGGACAATAATTACTCTGCACAGTCCCCTGTGCTCTGTCATGCCAAGAAGCCAAGTTAGCACACTGTACATGTAAGACTGGCCAGTGACTGGGTCCAAATTAATTGGCTATGACTTGGAGTAACACAAAGCATCTTTGGGAATTAGCAGTAGCCATTTGGCATTGGCTTAAATAACCAATCAATGCAAATACAGCTTTTACTTAACATCTGCATGCAAGCAGCTGAACCAACAAACAACCTATGGTAAGACTGGCCTACAGTATTTAGCAATGATGTTTTAGAAAACTAAGTCCTTCAAACAAACTTTTATAATGCCAGCATAAATCCCCATCGTCTAATTGGAGTATCATTAGTCACATGACGTTACTGACTTATTCATTCTATTCAACATTACCTACATGTACATGTATTGAAGAGAACTTCATTTCACTGGACTGGTTCCTGCCCCCATTTCATAGACATGTATTTCATTCACACTAAGAAAGGGGAAATTTTCAAGATGTAGTTTTTATTTTTTTTTCCAAGATGTATTTTCAAGAGGGAAATGTAGAGATGGGAACCAGTCTAACATTTATTGTGTAATACACAAAGTGAACGGGTGGTACTTCAGACATATATCTGTTTTGCCAAATGACAGACATTAACATGCAAAGACCGTTGATGTAACAGAAGATTTATGCAGGTATTGTAGAAAACAGATAATGAATGTTTCAAACTCCTGCAATGGCAAGAGTAATTTCATTCGGTGATAGCTTTTATGTTCCATTCTACATGTACATTTCAAATTCCATTGGTTTACCAAACTGAAATACTGCATAACATGTACTTATCTAAAACACTACTTCAACTAAAAGAAACACCAAAAGTAATGCTTTTGATCCACGTCCCCCATGAAGAGATCTCCCCTAAAATAACAAACATATGCATACCCTCAAATTTAGTTTGCTTGATCAGGTTAACACTGAATAGCAGGTGTGGATCTCAAACATCAAGCAAGATTTTCAGGTGGTAAAGAATCGTTAACTGGACTTTTCACGCAGTGTGGATACTAATAGCCCATAAGATGCATTGATAATACCCCATGATACCAACGCCCGGCTGAAATTCAAATGTACCCCCCTAAACATGGCACGCCATCTCCGCCCCCTCTCATTGTAAACAATGTAAAATGTCCTCCAGGCTGATTCAAACTCACCCCCAACCTTGGATTGCATCTTGGTCTTGATAACATTGACAGGGAACCAAATGGTGCTAAGAGATGCTCCAAGGAAGGCACCGCTAACAAAGTCATGAGCGACCTGTGTACAAATAGAAACAGGCAACTCTCTGTCAAATTAAACAAATTTACCTTGTATCTTGTCCTAAAATCAAGAATTTAGAATCAAACGTCTCTGCAAGTCAGATGTTACAAACAGTCAAAACAGGTGTCAATATTCATGTAACACATGAATCTTGCACAAACCACACGATCTTGAAACCATTCATCTTGAGGATTCAAGAATAGTACTTCAAAAAATGAAAACCAAATTACAGCCAAGCCACTTTTACAAATATATTTGTCAGCAAGAACAATGAACGTGAACTTGGTTTATTTCTCAGTTATAGAATGTGGTGTACATGTATACTCAAGAGGTTCTCTAGCCCCTCCCAAAAACCCTCAGAGAGAGTTGGGAAGACAGAATACCTTCTGTACTTTGGACGCATCTTTAGGTGTAAACATCTGTAGTTGGTCACGCATGGTGAAGAAGACAGCATTACTGGGCCCATTGCGCAGAAGAATTGGTGTAAGTCCGCGGTAGTACTCCCGAAAACCATAAATCCGTAAACGATGGAAGACCTGGAAGGTATTAGTGTAGTTCTTCATATGACGGTGATCTTGAAGAACTGTCTGGACACGCTCAAATGGGACAAGGATCGCCTCTGTGGTACCTGTAACCCAATTTTAGCAGGTCACGTACATGTACATGTATATTGTAATTTACAGGACAAAAAAGGCCAAAAATCCAGCAGCAAAAGCCAATAAACACTTGCAATCTAAGTGAATGATAGGTTTAGTTTTTATACTTACCTGAGAGAAGTGCTGCAGTAACTTTGGCAACAATCAGTGGACAGTCCGAGCAGTATCTGATAATGATGCGAGAATACTGATCGTAGAGTCCAAACATAAGAGACAGTGCCGACATACGCTGTAGTAAGGGTGGTAGAACACCTCTATACAGATGTCTTGTTCCTTCCCTCTTCAACTGACGTAACGCCTTGTGAACCTTTATACTGTGAAGTTGCTGCCGGAAGATGATCTTATTGATGGGAAACGTTAGGATGATGTTGATAAATGCCGCCCCTGCACCAGCAGTAAACTCCACCCAGTCTGGTTTATATGTGATGTCCTTTGTAAGTAACTGATTCCCTGAACCATAAGTGTCGTGATTTTGAAGCACTGGGAAGTAGAGGGAACCGTTTGTAAATGGTGCCCTGGTGAGACTGTCCTGTTGACATTCGCTGAGTTGTACATTGTGTGAGTCGTTACCCATGTTAGTATGGGTCGGCTACAATTCATGTATCTTGAGTTGGGATCTAGCCTCGATGTCATCAGGGGACTCCAAGGGGGTATACAAGAAGCCTCAGGGTAGGTTCAAGTTCAAAGTTGATAGGAGCTTGATGGAATGGCTGTTGTTTCCGTTTGAAGATCTGTTTATCTACGCAAAATGAATCCACAAATGTCTGTCATTAATACCGCCTGGACAATGCACACAGTGGGCCACAACACAAATGGAAGAAAGTTAACAGTATCACACTACATTCCTAGTGACTACAAATGCAACTGCGCAAGTTCTCAGGAAGCCTAGTTTGAAGTGCCTTTAACACTGCACTTTGACTTTATAAGCTTAATCCTAGTGATTATTTAATCAGTAAATTCATGTCAGGCAACTGGACACCCCTGATGAAGCCATGTGTGGAAACACAGTGAATGTATCAAAAGACACAGGCATTGAGATTGCACATCATTGTGCAACAGGGATAGAACAAGCAAATGTGCATACATGATACAGCAATGACTCATGTTCGATCCTATGGTGTACATGTACATGTATTTGAGTTTGCAGTCGTTTAACCACTTGCTGCCGGGGATTCCGGTTTCGGACACATATTCTTTATACACGTAGCCAGGGTCTCCGATATTGGACAAAGGGAACTTGACCTTGTAACAAAAGACCGTACTCGTAACAAAAGACCAGGCTGCTGGAATTTACCAACATTTTTTCACTCTCAATAGTAGAGATAATCCAGCCTTGGTTTGAAACAGTATACCGTGGTTTGGTTTGGGGCATTTAGCGTGAGCGGATTACCACCGGGGACGAAAGAGCTCCACCACTTCAGCGACGAGCCACGTAGTATCGCTGCACGCTAATCTGGCTCCTAATGAAAAGAGGTCAGCAGCGCACTGTGCCAGTTTCGTGAACAAAAGAAAATTACGTAACATCGCACAATCTGGGCTCTTTTCACAAGGCAGCCGGCCTGGCTGAAATACTCCATCGTCCATAGATGTCTGTCAGATTACAACCAGACCGTCCTTCGTGTGGGTGTAAGTGTCCAGTAAATGAAGACATGAATTTTTGAAAACAGAAAATACTCCAGCGTCAATAGATGTCTGTCAGATTAGAGACCAGACCGTCCTTCGTGTGGGTGTAAGTGTCCAGTAAATGAAGATATGAATATTTGAAGATTTTTGAAAACAGAAAAAAATGATAATTATCCCGTCCCAGCATCATCAACATTGATAACTGCACCCGGCATGATGTGGTTAACATTACTCAACAGCAACCCACATGTAGTCATGTAGGAGATATACTGTTTACTTGTATGCTGTCTGGTTTTCTCAGGCTAGGCCCTAGGGCAGACTACGACTAGTTCTGTGCATTACGTTAGACCAACGCTAGCACCAGACTGGGTCCAGTCTACTAGACTCCCTCTGTATCCTTGGCCCCAACGGTCAATCCAAAAAGAGGACACTCCACGAAAAAGGTTCTATGAAACCCCTTTTGTGTGTATCTGTGTATGGATCACTCGCCCCATCAAGCCACTGATCTATTAATATGGGCGATTTGCAGTTTGTAGAAGTCCGTGAAATTTTGGTTTCCATTTTGGCCATTCATTTACTACAGCAACTATTTCCTGATCATTATTAAAACGATGCCAAACACAGTCGGGATCTGTTTGGTCTAGGAACCAGACAGTGTTATTATGCAGATCCCCAGAGCATGACATTGCCAAACAATGTTGAAGAATGATGAACCGAAATATACAGTGATTGGGATCAAGTGTGAACTCGTTGCCAGACATAGCGTGGTGTGTGGTGCGCACAACATTCGTTCGTCTGATCTCTATCCCGCCCAATGATGACGTGCGCCCATGAAAATACACGACAACTGTTGTTTTCGACACATTCATTGCATTCAAACATACACACAAGGCTTCATTGTGAGTGATAGTCATAGTCGCTGATAAAACAGCAGTTGGGATCACTGTCTCTAACGTTGTCTGGTTCCCAGACTACACAGCTCCTGACTGTGTTTGGCATCGGTCAACAATCGGGAGTTAATCAAAGTAGTAAATGAATGGCCCAAATCAAAACCAAAATTTCACGGACTTCTACAATCTGGAAATCGCAAATATAATTAATACTTCGGTGGTTTGGTAGGGTGAGTGATCAGGTGATTCACACAAGCAAAAGGGGTTTCATAGAAGGGTTTGTTCAATTTTATGGGTGTACTGAGTTCCCAACAACCTTAACTACAGTAACATAGCCTAGGCTGTGTGCGCATTCAAATCAGATTGCTCAAGGCATGTTGGGAACCAGCGTATGGCATTGCAAGATCGTACCAATGTGAACGAAGTTGCGTATGTACATGTACTGACCGTGGATACCTCTCCAATGTCCGTACTTATGGCTTGACCATAGAGTTG